ATGAATTAAACTGAATTAAATTTTGATCTATATTAGAGATATGGTTGTTACTATATAAAGTAATATACTTAATTAGCTCAGGAAGTCTGTTAAATATTACATAAGGTTACCAATGAGTTCCTGCAGGAAGCGAGTGAGCTGACATTTGTAGGTCTCCTCACAAGAACCTGGTGGTAGCTCTGGAGATACCCATGGGCTCCACAAATGGGCTTAAACTCTCCCCCCTAATTGCTTAGTGGCCTGAAGTTTTGTGAAGTCTGATGGAATGCAAAGGAGCCCACTGAGCAACAGCTTGAACCACAGCCCAGCGAAACCCAGCTCATTTCTCTACAGCTGCTCTGTTTTCCATCTGCCTGGGAACAGAATTGGCTTTGATTAGAAATGTTTTAGTCCTTCCCAAATCTCTTTTTGTCACTCCTAGCCCACACCGCTCACTGCCATTAAGAGTATTACCTTGCCTCTTGAGCCATCCCCTGCTGGAGTACCAAATTTAACAGATATTTTTCAGCAGAGCCTTAACATTCACTCCTCCGTGTGGCAAAATGCTTCCAGCATGGTTGGTAGCAGCTGCACACGGATTTCACATCCTCATGTTCAGACCTTGCTGTCTCTCTCTGAAAACATCTATCAGTCTGAGCAGCAGCTGCCAACTCAGTCCAAGCTGACAGATGTAGGATGACTTCTGATTTCATTCCCCACTGTGCTCTGAAAATTTCGTTTCAAAATACAGTACTGAACTGGCCTTGACAAGAATCAGGTGTTGTTAACTCTGATCAGACAGTAACTCCATTACTAATGGCATTACTCATCCTGCTCTGTGGTGTTTTCCTCCCCCAGAGTCCTTAAACGCAGCATTCCCCTGCTCACAAAAGTGCTCTTGGATTGAACAAGGAGAGAAATGTGACTTTTTGTGGTGACAAGGTGATTTGTAATCTTAAGGAGCTCATTCCCAAGAAACAAAAGCAGTCATGGCAGTTTGAGACAGGTCCAACTAGGAAAAGTCTCCCTGTACTAAAGGATGCATTTTTTAACACTTTGAGAGTTTGGATTTGCAGGTGACAGCTGGGAGTGGAGAGAAAGAACAAAAGAATGAAAGAAGGAAGGAAGGAAAAGAAAGAAGTGAAAAGGTACAGGACATGTTTTGAATGCAAGTGGACACATACTGTGCCCAGATGGGGACAATCCCCCTCCAGAATTTGTGATCCTTCTCAGGGACACGGTGGCTTTGTGGCCATTTGCTGATCTCAGCAGGTGCTGCTTTGAGAGTGGAGACATTAGCTCTTCCCATCTTTCTGAAATCTGGCTCACAGGTTATTTCTTAGCATTTTCAAGGATTATTCTGGTCATCATTGTCTTTGTTTGACATCAAACTTGCTCAATTATGTCCCTTGCAGTATGGTAAGGAAGAGACCTGCCACCAGCACAAGCTGTTTTGACACCTGGCTGGGCTGGATGAAGCACATCCAGTGACCAATGTCATCAAGTCCCAGCCAGGTTTGGATTGCTCTGCTGGTTTTCAGTCCTAATAGCTCCTCAAGTTTTGACAGACAAGTTGTTGTTGGGTTTGTTTTTAAGAGAAATATATATCAAAGGGTAGCATTTCACTGCAAAGGCATCTCCAGCATGAGAAATGTTCCCCTGGCAATTTTTGTGTCCTACTCATTGGTGCTACATGTGAAATATTTATACTGAGGGTTTGTGCTGTATCTTGGGAGTCTGGCAAAGCAGGAGCTCAAGGGCTCCTTGAAGATTTTGCCCTCAGCCACTCTGGAATCTCTTTTCTCTGCCACACTGCCCTTCTCTACATCCATGTGTGCTAGTAACTTGTGAGGGCATCTCAAAAAAGGGAATTTTCCAAACAGAATAAACATGTCCCACGATGAAAGGCAGAAGAAAATGAAATAAAACAAAGGGATAAGTTTCATAGAGACAGATACTTGTGTGAATGAATGCCAGAGGACTTTCAACCCTCATCAGTAAAGACATGAACACAAAGAGGTTTTTTAATAATCTCTTCCTTTAAAGTTTGTTTCAGAAACAAACTGGCTCCATGGAACAGAAGTAAGTAATGGAAAAACTACAGCTTGTTCACATCCTCCTAGTTCTAGGTTTATAGAGAGCTATCTGTGGGCAAGATGGTGCAGACAAGAGAAGACTTTTTGACTGTGGGGGCAGCTGGAGCAGGTTGTCTGGAGGGGTTATGGAGTCTTCATTCCTGGAGATATTCAAACCCCAACCAGACAAAGCCCTGGGCAACCTGCTGTGTCCAACCTTGCTTCAGCAGAGGAGTTGGCCTAGAAAATCTCAGAGGTCCTTCCCAGCCTGAACCATCCTGTGATCTGCCACCCCCAGCTCCTGCTTCTCAGGCACAACTTCAGAATAAACAGAAATGAGGCTCAGGAGAGCTTGGAGCTGAGCTACAGCTCCGACCATCCAGAAGGGTTCCACTGCACAGATCCACAAGGATTGAGCAGTGGTCAGGAGATCTCCCTGCCCAGGAGAGCACCCCATGGCCTGATGCAGGGTGATCAGAACACCCTGTATGAATTTATACAAGCCCTTATGAGCTTATGGGATATCTACACGTGGCATATGTGCTGTGTAAGGCAGGTCCAAACGTGAGCTGTCAGACCATCTGCTTGCATATCTGAGTGTGATCTGCTTTAACTACAGGTTGTGTGATTTCCTTTATTACCAAGATGGCACGTTTCCTGAAAAACACTAGAAATGCGTTTGTCCTGTCTGCTGAAGCAAGAGAGAAACATCAGGATCAGGAAACCTGTAATCTGAGCTTTATCACTTCTTATTTATTTAACAATCCCGGCAATTTACTCTGGATAAACAATAACTGTGATTGTCCACATTATAATTTATCTTAGGTACAAAGTAGGAGCTTTGCTTTCTATCCGGATGGTGAAAATTCTGAATAATGGATGACAGCTAACAAACAGCAAACTGCTCCCAGGGATAGGAGCTGCACAGCACACACCCCATCGTTTGGAATTTGTAAACATTTCAATGAATACTAATGCTTGACTGATTAGCTGGAGAGTACAAATAACACCAGATCACAAACAGCCGCACAGTAAAAGTGGTTCATGGGTTCGTTAAACACCACGGGCGTCAAAAAATAAAAAAAAACCTGTCTCTCCATCACATCGGTGGTAATTAGATAAAATTCATGTCCTCTCTGCCGCCGCCGTGCTGCGGCTGCCCAGCTGGGCTGTGGTGACATGCCAGCCCGGCCAGGTGGGTGGTCAGGTCTGATGACTCTCAAAGCAGCGCTGAAGCCACGCACGAAGAAACCTCCGAGCCTGTTTCCCACTGCCCGGGCGTTTGTCGCCCGCCGCATCCTCAGCGAGCCCACAGTGACATCCTCTGTCGGGATGCGGCACCAGCGGAGCCCGAGCCATCCGCGGAGCGGGCGGGCTTGGGGACACTGGTGTCCCCGAGGAAGGGACACACGAGCCCGGCAGCTGCCGGGAAAAGCGAGCCCGGCTCTGAGCACGGAGCCGGCACCTTGTCCCAGTGCTGAGCACATTCAGGGACAGGATGAGGCTGGTTCTTGCTAAGGCCACCCTTTGGTGGGTGCCATAAAGGCCACCCCTCCTGTAGGAATGCTGAGAAGTGCTCGCACTGCTCGCTCTGCTGGCCGTAAATGATTTACTGCAGTTCCAGAGAGCCTTCTCAGCCCCTTCCCAGCGGGATCAGCCGCCGCTGTCAGGACAGGGGCTGTGGCAGTGTGCTTGAACAGGAATTCTATGAGGCTGCAGTAGTTCCTGAGGTGAAAATAGCTTTTGGAGCAATCAGAAGGTGGCAAACCCCCTGGGTCTTAACTACAGGCTTGTTCCTGTAGTTTGCACAATTTTCTTGCTTTGCTTATATTCTCTATGTTCCTCACAACTTACCAGAATTCCCCAGGTAGAAAGGTGCTTGGTCAGGGTCTCCAGCCAGTGCCCGTCTCTGTTTTGCAGCTGCTGCTCTGCACATCCCTGTGCTGTTCTCCAGAAGTGGTGATAGCAGAACTGATCCTGTCCCTGTGACAATACCTGTGAGGATGTTTCCTCTCCTGCCACCTGGAGCAGGCACCGTGCACAGAGGTTGTACAATGGTTGGTAACTTCATCCTGCAGAATCATCAACTGAAACAAGTGTTCAGACAAAAGTTGTTCTCTTTAGCTGTGAAGAGTGAACAAGTGGTGGAAGAAGGAAGAGTCAATCACCTCCCTGGAGCTGGGACTGGGGGCCCCAAGGACTCCTTGGTTTGCAGAGCAAGAATTGCCTGCACCCTGGCAACTTCACCTCTTCCTCCTGCTGCCCTGAGGAGCAGAGGAAAGATCATCACTCTCCATATTCCCCCTGCCCAGGGTGCCCTCCTGGCTGATTAAAAGACAAGTGAAGTTCTTACTTCACTTCTGTTCATTAAGGCAGAGACCCCACGGCAGGAGCAATAAACTCATGGGGGACGCTTTGGAGGGATGCAGGAATGTTGCTGTGCGGCATGCAAGGATGCTCTGGGAGAACACAAGGATGCCTCTGAGTTGAGAGGGGAAAGAGGAATGTGGAGATGTTCTAGGAGGTGGCAAGGATACTTTGAAGTAATGCAGTGATGCTCCAGGGTTGAGAAGGGAAGGGAAATGGGAGAATATGCTCTGGGGGGATTCAGGGATGCTCTGGGGTAATGCAAGGATGCAAACAGGTTGAGAGGGGAAGGTGTGGACTCTCAGGGATGCTCTGGAGGAATGAAGGGATATTCTGGGGCAGCACAAAGATGCTTCCGAGCTGAGAGGATACATGGGAATGTATCCTCAGATACTCGGGGATGCTCTCACGGGATGCAGACACGCTTGGGCGGATTTAGGGATGCTCTGGGGAGTTTGGGGGTACGCGAGGGTGCCGGGGGCCGGAGCGGGAGGCGGGAGCGGGCGGGGCGGGGAGGGGCAGCAGCCCCGCGGCGCTGTCGCGGCGGGAGCGGTGCGGGCCATGGAGAGCGGCGGGGCTCTGAACGGCTCGGCCGCCGCCGGCCGCTTCGCCGCCGCGGGCACGGCAGCGCTGGGAGCGCTCATGGCCCTGCTCATCGCCGTCACCGTGGCGGGCAACGCGCTGGTGATGCTGGCCTTCGTGGCGGACTCCAGCCTGCGCACCCAGAACAACTTCTTCCTCCTCAACCTGGCCATCTCGGATTTCCTCGTAGGTAAAGCGCACCGGCACCGGAATAGCCCGGCAGCAACTCGGCGGCGGGGCGGGCAGCGCCCCCCGGGCTCCGCTTGCCCGGCTGCTCCCCCCGGGCAGTGCCGCCACTCCGGCCCCGCTCCTGTCCCCGAAACCTTCCTGCAGTCCCCGGTCCCCTCCCGCTGTCCCCGGTCCCCTCCCGCTATCCTCGGTCCTCTCCCTCTGTCCCCGGTCCCCTCCCGCTGTCCCCGGTCCCCTCCCGCTATCTCCGGTCCCCTCCCGCTGTCCCCGGTCCTCTCCCGCTGTCCCCGGTCCTCTCCCTCTGTCCCCGGTCCCCTCCCGCTGTCCCCGGTCCCCTCCCGCTGTCCCCCGGCCATTCCCTCGGTCCAGGCGGGTCCCCCGGGGCAGCCACCGAGCCTCACCGGAACGGACCCTCCTCTTGCAGGCGCCTTCTGCATCCCGCTGTACGTGCCCTATGTGCTGACAGGGAGATGGATCTTCGGGAGAAGCCTCTGCAAACTCTGGCTGGTGGTTGATTACTTGCTGTGCACCTCCTCGGTCTTCAACATCGTGCTAATAAGCTACGACAGATTCCTCTCGGTGACAAGAGCGGTGAGTCGTGTCATGGCAGCTGAGAGGGACGTAACTCTCCTCCTGCTTTATTCTCCAGATTCTCTGCAATTAAAAGTTCTTTGAATCCTCCAGAAATTATGAATCTTTCCACCTGGAAGGCAATATTGGTCCACAAATGCATAATTCAGTTGTGGTTTCAGATTAGTATTCCTGGCATAATTAAATCGCTTAAGGTTCAGTCCCTGTTGTGCAGGTGTTCCTTTCCCAGGTGACAGGACAGTAGTGTACAAGCAAGGCAGCCAGGTAAGCAGACTTTTAACTAACTTGCAAGAGCTTATTATCCCCAGGACAAATAAGTGATTTGCAGTCAGATTCGCAGCTCCTCCCTGGCTAGCACGGCAATAGATTGTACTGCCGGCTCTGGCAGGGAATGTGGCGAGGTCTCTGAGTGTGTGGGAGATCAAAATGCTCAGCCTTTTGCAGGAGCTAACGAGCAGTTCACAGGCAGATCTGACCCACTGCTGTTCGCTCGTTCCCTGGCTACAAATACAACATGCATTTAGCCCAGGAGTTTGTCAAGTCCCTTCCTGGAGATTCAAAAGAGTAGCTGGGGACAGCTCAGGTAAGTGGCAGGTGCTGACAACTGCCAGGCTCCAACCAAGTCAGTGCATTTCCACTTAGCAGACACCATATTTTGGAGCTGTAAAATGAGTGCTCGTAATCTTCCCTGTAAGGGTGTGATTTATCTAGCAATTGCTCCTGTTGCCTATGGCATATCAATTCGTTGGACTGCTGGGATATTGCCTAGCAACTTTACCAGGAATGCTAATAGTCCATTTGTGAGGAGCCTCAGCCAGCTGGGGTGTGGGACTGTGTGTAAGAAAAGGCTTTCCTCTTTCAGGTCGCCTACAGAGCCCAGCAAGGCAACACCAGGCAAGCGGTGCTGAAGATGGTGATGGTGTGGGTGTTGGCATTCCTGCTGTACGGACCTGCCATTATCAGCTGGGAGTACATATCAGGCCAGAGCATCATCCCCGTCGGGGAGTGCTACGCTGAGTTCTTCTACAACTGGTATTTCCTCATGACAGCCTCCACGCTGGAGTTTTTCACCCCTTTCATCAGCGTGATGTTTTTCAACCTAAGCATTTACCTGAACATACAGAAGCGCACCAAAATGCGCCTGGATGTTTTCCACGAAGTGCACAACCAGTCCTTCACTGAAGAGATGGAAAGGAGCCGAGAGGCAAAGCTTTCTCTGAAATGCTGTAAGTGGGAGCAGAAGGAGTCAGCTGAAACCCTCGACCTCTCTAAGAGCAAAGCTCAACCAGCAGCTTCCAATTCCAGCCTGGATGCCAAAGACCTGCTGGCAACAAGCTCGGAGAGCTCCAGGAAACCCGAGTGTTGCAACAAGAAGAGCTGTAAAAATTCAGCCTCCACTCTGCCCTCAGAGGTGAAGATTGTGTCCCAGAGCACAACTCAACGCTTCAGGCTCTCTAGGGACAAGAAAGTGGCCAAATCACTGGCAATCATTGTGGGCATTTTTGGGATTTGCTGGGCACCCTACACTCTCCTGATGATCATCCGTGCTGGCTGCCATGGCCAATGCATCTCTGAGTTCTGGTATGAGACTTCTTTTTGGCTGCTGTGGATCAACTCAGCTGTCAATCCTGTCCTATACCCTCTCTGCCACTCCAGCTTCAGAAGGGCTTTTATTAAACTCCTTTGTCCCAAGAAGCTGAAGATTCAGCCTCACTATGCCCTTCAGAACTACTGAAAGTGAAGCCAGCCCTGTGTGAGGATGAGAAAAGCCTCGGTTTACTTCTGCACTATTGGTGTGGGACTGGAGCTCGTTTCCTGGGAAGAGCTCAGGAGCAGTGGTGTGGGGCAGGGGAGGAAGGCAGAAGAGAGCCCACTATAAAATTATTTCAGTTCATCAACAACAAAATTCCACTGCAAAGAAGAATAAAGGGGTTTACTGGCATTAACCACAGGTAGTGAAATCTGGGTCCAACCCTGGCAGGTGCCACAAAAGAGCTCTGCTGCCACCTAGTCAGCCTGAGCGGCACCAGCATTTTGCTCCAATAAACTGAAAACTGAAAAAAAAAAGCTAATAAAAATAAATATCTGGCTTAAACTACTGCTCTAAACTACAGCTTAGCTGTTGGCAGATCTGATCTTTCTCCTAAATGGGAGCGTTTTTTCCTCACACCTATTACACGTAGATGATGATACGGAAAGAAAAGAATAAACCTCAGAAGGAAAACGTCTCATTTATCTTTTTTGTTACAGCAGCTGCAGCCATAATCTGGATCCCTGTTTTATGGGGTGCAATAGATGTCCCTTCCACGCCCCAAGAAGGGACAGATCTCTGCTCTAAGGAGTTTACAGCCGAGCTCTGAGGCGTTGAGTATCTTGAAGCGTGCTGTTGGCATTGCCTGACCCCTCCCTGCTTCAAAACTGCTCAGATTTCCTCTGGGTGCTGCCCCACACTGCCCAGTGCTCCCATGGGAGTGCTGCCCTCCTGCCAGGGCCACACAGCAGGAACGAGCCCTGGAAGGCTCCTAGCAAAGGGTTCCTGTGCCTGTGTGGAAGGTGCCAGCCAAGTACCAGCTTCTCCACAGCCTCCATCCTGGCCGCCCAAAGACATTTTCAAACCTCTTCTGCAGGATCTTAAAGACACTCTTCTGGCACTGTTAGGGAATAACAAGCTCAGAGAGAAGCAAATCTTGTGTTGGCTTTTTAATGTTCCTTTTTTTAATGTTCCTTTCAGACCTCTTAAATTTTTCAAGTTTCAGAACACTTGCGTTCTTTCTTTTAAAATACCTCACTTCATTGGAGACCTAGGTTGAACTGATTAAATCAACACAAGCATTAATTATTTTACTGTTTAATTTTTAACAAATTTTTAGGGCTGTCAACTAATTACACAGATAGAGCACCAGATTCAAGAGACCAGGGCTCTAGCTTTGGTCTTACCATAAAATCCTGGGCATTTTATCTCTGCTTCCCATCTCATACTTCATCACAGTTGCCCTTTCGTTCTACAACCTCTTTGGGCACAGAGGCAGTATGACCAAAAAGCTGGTTAAATCCACTGCTGGCACTGCTCAGTGATGTAGTAACACAAATAAGTAATTAGTTGCCATGGCAAATACTCCTATTTAACAGTATTGCACAGGGAAGCTCCAGATCCTAAGTCTGAAAACTACATTTACAAATAGAAACCCACATGTTGTAAAGTAGTACCCAAAAGCTTATGATGTTGTGATTGCCAATTACATTTTGCTGTTGCAAGCAAACTGCTTTTTGGCTGCTGCTATGAGTAAAAGAAAATTCCATCCGACTGTATCTCAGTGGTATTTGTCAAGTAGATCAGTATTGCCACCTGAAGTCAGGTTTCAAATGATGTCTCGTCTTGTGTATGTGATATTTCAGACTTGTGACATGTTCTGTCAGTCTGTAATATATGGGTTAAAATACACCCCTCAAAGTACGTGTGCTATGAATTGACAGGATAAATGTTGAGCCTGCTCGTACCTTTCCCTGTGTTTGCTCCCTTCTGAAAACTTCAATAAAGTATTTTTATAAGAAGCTTGCTGAATATTTTATGGTGAACAAGGTGTTGTTGGAAATTATAAAATGCAACTGGAAGCAAAACATCTATGGATTTGCCTGAGGAGGCAGATACACATGTCACAGAAAAAACAGCTCCTGAAACAGGTGAGTTTCTCTCACCTCGGGTGAGCAGGTCCCTGCCAGCCCCCTGAGGGTGTGGTGAGTGCACATCCCTCCATTCTGGTCTTTTCCAGAGCATGGTACATGCAGCTGGGATCTGGAGAGGTTACATCAGCAATAACTCTTCCTGTAACTTACAAACCCCACTGGTCTGCCTAAAAATGACAAATCCATAGCGTGCCCAAGGCACCATTTTCCAGCTGTGGTTCTCTTCAGTTCTTCATCAGGAGAAGTGGAACTGCTCGATCATTCATTCTGATAAAAAAGGTGCCTGTTGTGACACCTTCCTTTCCCAGAGGGAAGTAAAGGATATATTTCCTTCTGAGCCTTTTGCACAATATTTTCATGGTCTCTGACCTTCATGTGGGCAGAATTATCTACACTTGGCTGAAAGTAATTTTATTCATTGTTGGATTTTACAGGGAAGATACTTATATTCCTTCCTGAAATAAGAGCTCTTGCTTTGCCAAATAAAAAGGAAAAATAACTACTTATGCCTGAACATGAGGTCACACCTGAGCCTGGTTTCCATGCTGAAAATCTTGGGAACTGCTCTGAAGTTTCAGAGTAGCTGATGACTAATTGAAAAAAAAGAGTATTTGAATTCTGATGATTTTCAGTGTTCAGAATATAAATGTCTATATGTATTTGGAAGAGACAGGGACTAGAGAGCTTCCAGGCATAATCCAATATGAATTGTGAAAATGCATAACCACTAACAAGGCAGAGCTGCTTGTCAACCAGCCCAGCACAACACCTGTGTATCATTTATTTGCCATACCTGCTAAAAAAATGCCTCTTTCCTATTGTCTAGGCATAAGCTAAGCAGGCCAGACCTGTTTTCAACAACCATGAAGGAAGACTTGCTGTAATTACGAATATGATTCAAATACTCGGGGAAGCACATAGGCTTCATTTCCATAGCACATCTCCACAGAGAGAAGAAACCTGGCTAATTCCAGAGAGAAGCATCCAATTTATGCAGGGAGTGTTGCTAAACAGCATTCATGCAGCTGCAAGTCATGCCAGGGAGCTTTTTGGATAAGTGATTTCCCTCAGGAGCAGTGTGGAGGTGATGCCAGGTCCCCTCTCTTGATACAAACCTACACTCCATTAACTCGAGGACATGAAGCCACCCTAACGAGGTCTGTGGTCTTTTCCTACAGCACCATCTGCATATCAATAAACTATCAAAAAAAATTTTTTTTTTCTTTTAGCACAGCTACTCTCTTTCTGTCTCTCTAAATGCTTCCTCCCTAATCACCAGTAATGAGAGATCTCTTTACACAGGCAGAGGAACTTTGCTCCCACAGCCTCTCCTCTGGCCCCTCCTCAATTACCATCCCTTATTCGTGCTCTGCAACCTGCAGTTACAGAAATTGCTCCATTGTTCCACAGACATCACTGAAGCTTCATTAGCTCAAGTAAGAGTCTGGAGAAGAAGAGAGAACGCAAGAAGGAGCTTTTGTTGAAAAACACCTGTCTGTGATAATTAATGAGATTTGCTGGGAGGGAAGGGCTTTGAAAATAGGAAGATGTGATTATATTTTGATTTGAAAGAATGCTAATGGTTTGTAAATGGCCATTCATTTTCACAGCAGTACGAGGATGGAAAGACCAGAGGTTAACATCCTTGCCAGAAAGAACTTTAGCACCATGATTTCTGTAAGGGAAGATTATTTTTTCACAGCTCCAGCTGCAGAGCAGTGACACCAGCACAACTTTGCAGTACAGACCTGGTCCTAAAAGAGATCTCCTGCACTCTACAGAACTTGTTCTGCAAATAGATGAGGCACAATAAGGAGTGTTATCTTTCCTTCTGGTGTGAGAACTGCAGAAAGAATAAAAACTGTGCAAGCTGCCCTCGATGAGCACCCCGAAAGAGAAAAGTTCTCTCAATTTCTGACGCCACAAAGGCAGCCTTTCATGCAAGATTGCACAGATGTTCCTGTGGACAGTAGGAACTCACAGCACTCCTCTGTTCCCTTAACCTCTAAGTCTCCTCCTTTCCTCCTTACAACAATTTTGTGTCAATATATTTGCATTTTCAGGATTAAGGAATTATGGGGGCTTAGAAAAGCAATTAGGAATTCTGCAGGGTGAAAGGTCTTACCTAAAACCCAGTACCACCATTTTATTGAGATATAAAACTATTATTGGCATTTACTTCAACAAACCCGCCACTACCTGGGGGAGGAGTACTTGTGAACACCTCAAAGGCAAAAAATCCCAGCTCTGTCCCTGCACCTCTTGTTGCAAGCTCAGGAATGTCCATGACTCAATCAGCACTATTTTTATTTAAAGGTGCATGAACATCACTTATTTACAAGCCCCACACTTTTACTCCATAATTTGCAGGCTGCTTTCACAGTCTGTGTGCAAAAGGAACTGATACTTAGTCCAAGTACCAAACATCACAGGTAGAGCTATGTGTGCATTTCTGTAGGGGAAGAACAAGACTATTTTCCATTTTTAAAATGCTACAACCTGATTTTTTTTTTTAATGACTTAGAGGCACTAAGCAGGACCTTTGGTTGGGTTCTAAAGGCTTCATGACAAAACTTGGAGTTTTTTATATGCAGACTGGACCCATAACTTAAACATCTGTTCTTTTAAGCACAAAAATGTGTCTGTGATGTGACACTGGCTTTGAAATGATTTTTAACACCATATCCTAGGATTTAGTAGCACAATTAACACTGAAGGAAAACTAATTGCAAAGTAGTTAATAATCTCATTCAAGATCTCTCTGAGCATTCACAAACAACAGGCTCTCTGCTAGGAGGGCAGCAACAGTTCTGGCAAATTTTTTAGCTGTTAACTAACAGCTCACACACAGCTTTAGCCTTTAAAAGCTGCTTATTGAAGAACAAACAATAACGGGGGTTGCACATAAACCCTTGAACACGAGGCTGCAAGTACACCCTGCAGTGTCCACAGATTGAAGACAGATTGACAGAGCAATCACCCTCCATTATGAAAATAATTTATACTCTAAGAAGCACAAATTTAATAGACCACTATGGTTAAAACAGCATT